ACTCCCTCAACGGGGCCGCTCGCTCTCTTTTCTTGATCACCCTCTCATGTACCCCTTTCACACCGGCGCTTTTCCAGCTCCTGCTGGGAGCTAGAGCCTGAAAAGCGCCGGTTTTTCCTGTTCACACCGCAGCGGCGGCGCGTCATAGCTCCGGAATGCGGTTCACTTCCAGCTCCAAAAAATTGTCGGTCCAGAGGCAAGAGCTTCGGAGCTATGACGCGGCGTCGCTTACGTCTCTTACGTCGAGGCGTGCAGGAAACCTTACTTTGACCATCCGTTCGCTGTTATTGATCATTGTGGAGATACATGGGCTATACAGGTTGTCATGTCCGACTATCAGAAGTAGAATCATAATGAAAAATACGCCGGTAAAATGTGCCTATAGAAAACGGCTTAGCAAGTAGTCAGTTTAGCTTCGGTTGCTATGCTAACATCACCCATGTTATACCAGAGAAACTTTCATAACAGCGTTGTGATGCCAAACAGCGTCAATTCAGACTGACACACATTCACTTAAGGGGAACTGGGGATATGTATCAGCTGCTTGTGTGACAGTCAGACAGTGAATACTTTAGAGCCGTGTGAGCTAACCCGGAGCTAACGGGAGAATAAACTCCCGTGGAAGAGCAGCCAGCACTGCAGCGGTCGCTAAATGCCGCTGAAACACATTAATAAACAATGAACCACGGCACTCTGGAGAAAAGTATAAGGTTGGAGAAGTCGTTATTTAATTTAAGCTGGCTTCGTATGATTAAAAGCAACACGATCATCGACCCGACGCAGTCCCCGGCCCGTTGTTGTTGTGGGAGAAAATCAGCGACGTAAACTGTGACGTCATGACGCAGCAGCGGCAGCTCTGGGCAGTGTGAACAGAGCGGGAGCTGAAAAGGGAAACGGGAGCTGAACCAGAAAAGCTCTCGCGAGGAGCTAGAAAGTGAAAAGCGCCGGTGTGAAAGCCGCAATGGAGAACACTTCACTGTCCCGCTTCATTGTAGGATTTCTGCCATGTCTCCACTTCAGTTTGACCATCTATGTTATTAAGTTATGGAATACTAAATAAATAAGTAATTAGATACCTTACCGTTACTGCGCTCATAAAGAATGATAAGAATAAGAATAATGTGAATTGAACTGGTTTCATTAGTTAGTGATTTTATTTAAGGTAATTAGTTAGAAGCCCTATTTTATCAGTATGTCTGCACAGCAGTTACAATGGTCAAACTACGTTAAAACAGAATTGTCCCCATTTTTTCTTTAATAGTTACTAACATTAGATATTTTAATGAGATATGGACCGCACAACTAAAAATGTGCCTGAATAACAAATTTAGCAGTGGACATAAAAGTCAACTGAGTGTCACTTGCAATGACAGTATTGTGTTTTTATGTTATGAACCTTTTACATTAAAAACAAGTTAGAATTTTCAAAAGGTCTTGTGTTTTTTTCTGGGGGGGGCAACAGTTTAGAGCAATAGCCCCTCCAAATGTCTGTGCACGTCCCTGGATAACACACATACTTGGCAGCATTTTCTTATTGTAATTATTTCCTGTAAAATGCTGGGTTAGTAATGCCACCTTTCAAGCCTCTGGAGGGGATTAAGGCAATTCTCCTTCAAAATTCCTAGCAAAATATATCTATATGTGAAAATCAACAAAGAATGGGAGAAGGATCAGTAAAACTCCCATGTGTTATCCTTCACAGCATTCTGCACAGACAGACTTCAACTGTACTGACAATGAACTGATTAAAATCTTATAAACAAAAAAAAAGTTGAAACTGATGATACTTTGAAGTGATCTTGGGGAGCATTTACTCTCTGTCCTAAAGGTCAACAAACACAGCGATCACTGATTATGTGATGATGGTGTGGAATATGTGGCTGTGCAGGTGTGTGAGTAGTTCAGGGACACCACGACGTTACTGCTGCGGAGGAACTGGATGCTACCATAAAAACCTCTGATGTATAACAACCTGCTCTCACACAGCTGCACCCGTCACTTCCTGTATAATCAGGTCAGGTAAGGCCTCAACATACAGGGCTCAGACCACTGTGACTCAAAATACATAACGGAATCAGACTGTGTCGGATGGGAAACCGGGGGTGGTTTTAACACCGTGGCTTTACCAAAATAGGGTGACAGGAGGGGCATCAGACCACTCCCTGAAGTAATTTCTTCGACAAAGTCTATATTTTGAACCTGTTATGCTGAAATTAGAATGATGTAACTTGTATTAGATTAGAGAGTAGTTTCTTAGGTCAAATGTGTGGTATTTTATAAATGCTTTTTCAAACCACCTACAGTTCTACAGCTAGCTTAACATTGTCTGACTCTGCTGAGTTCAATGACACCTTCTACACAAGTCTATGCCAAACAGTTCATAAGTTATGGAAGAGGGCGGGGCTTAACTGTAGGGCACAGGGCTAACGCAAACCAATGAAACGGGAACTCCGTAGGGATTTCAAAACAAAGTACTTGAGTACCAAATCGATGCCGAAAGGGACTTTTTCTCAAAGTACTGCCAGTATCATGTTTTTAAGGCAACGCCAGGACATCAGACTAAAGACGTCCTGGGGGAGTCTATCATTTTTCCAACTCAGTTGAGATATAACCACCCCCACTTTTGCACTAGCGTAGATCTGCGCGACTGCGTCATGGATGTATAAAGAGAACGTGCGGTCCCCATGTTAACAACGCTGAATTATATCACGTCAACTCTATCTCAGAATAAAACCTGATGTGGGCTGTCTATCCGACAACAAAGAATTAGCCAACTATCCCTACCCACGGTCCCTCCCCCTCACTTCCTGCCACTTAGAGACAACTTCCTGGCCGATGAGGCAACTACCTTTGGCGACAGTGCAAGTGAAGCCATGCTGAAAAACGTAACAGCGGTCATTGGCAAACTGAATATTGTTTATCCTTGACAGTGTTGGAAAGTAACAAAGTACATATACTCAAATACTGTACTAAAAACAAGCTATTGGGCTACACATTGTTTGCTAGTTTATTATGTTTAAATCCAAGGTGAATTGTTACTAAAAGATTTTTTAACATTACCTCAGCTATGCATGACTTCGATTGTCTTTCATAAAAAGAAAGCGCTATTTTCATCAATCTACTAAAAAGACACTATGAAGCGACTGTAGCTGTCAAATTCATATTTTGTGGGATGAAAACACCAAGGGCGACGCTCTGAAGTTGATGCTTAGTCATGCGGAAGTGGGCTTGGTTGAATCTCAACTTGGTTGGAAAAAGGATGCAAATCAGCATTGAGATCTAAAGGAGGATAGCTGGTTAACATTAGCTGCAAGCAGATATTGAACAGAGATTCCTTAAAGGTATATGATGATGGTTCATAGTTTCGTTCAGTAAAAAACACTATTAGTCAGAGGTAAATGCATGCTGTGTTTAAATGTAGCCTTGTTATATTGAGATTTTGGCAAGAAACCTGAATAAAGACAGCTGTTTGAAGGAGATATTTCTACAGCAATAATAAATGTTTGAGGGATAATTATGAGCTGTTTGACGTTGGAACAAGAACCAGAATGCAAACTAAAATGAATGAGAACATGTTCAAGTCCATTGGATTTATTTTGTATTTGTATTCTACCATGGTATTGAATTAGAATTTTTAGAATGTGGTCTTTCGAGACACCCTCACCCCACTGAGACCAATGAGGCCTTTCACAAGAGTCAACTACAACTTGTTCATTAGGTTGGCCATGCTATGTGAACCTGTCTATAGGTTTCTAATTAGCATGAACATAACAAGACAGATCACACCAACACATGAGACCTCCGATTCACCCCAAGTTCACCCTAAAGTTCAGCCTCCTATAATGTGAGCCCCAGACTCGCCTCAGACTCGCCTCATGACAAAGAGACCTACAGAGCTGCTGGTCACAGATACAAAGTGTCACACATGACCCACAATGATACATTAGCAATTAGATATACTGTACATGTAGAGATAAACATATAGTGCATATTGCAGTGGTGAAAAGTAACTACAAAGTAACATTACTCAAGTATAGTACTTCTTTTGACATACACACGTGTACACTTCTTTAGTATTTCCATTTAATGCTACTTTATACTACCACTCCACTACATTTCAGAGGCAAATATTGTGCTTCTAACTTCACTACATTTAGTTTAACACTCAGTTACTTTGTAGATGATATACATAAACATACATTTGTACTGATAAAGTGCAATGCAGTACTGTTCTAACATTCTACACAGTATTTCATCATTTCAATACCAAGTATTCAAATTGGTTCCACATCGAGAAAACGACAAAACTAAAATGCTGTTACTCGCATGTAGAAAAACAGAATATTATAATACCCAAAATAATAAAACACTGTGAAAAGATCCATTCTGCATAACCAGTACTTTTACTTGAAGTACATTAAGCTGATAATATTTATGTACTTTAGATTATTCTGAAATTGGCTATTGTGCAGAATAATCACTTTTACTTTTTGTACTTTAAGTACATTATGATGCTAATCATTTTGTACTTTTACTTAGGTAACATTTTAAATCAGGACTTTTACTAAAAGTGGATTATTTGAGACCATAGTTCTAGTGTGGATTCATCCAATTTATCATTTTTAATTTTCATTGTTGCAATTGTGTTGTTGTGGGGCAGGATGCAACAGTGAAACTCCTTGTACTTGAAAATGTGAGACCTCAAACTAAATAATGAATAGCTAGTTCGCTCAAAAGTGTCACAAACAACCCGGCCTCCCCCTGTCTGTCACATCCACGACACGTGGCAAAATAACGCCATAAATGGGTGACCAGGATTTGACTTTTGTGCCGTCTCATCTCCAAACATTTGACCCCCTTTATCGGACTGCTGATTGTTGTTTTGTTCAAGGAGGAATGTGACAGTAAGGTCTTTGTTCTGAGGCGGCGTCCTGCGCAAAAACACCACAAGTGACTTTCAGAAAACTTTTCCTGTGTGTCTTAGTCAGGGCTGCACTCACCGACAGTGGTGACCAGAGTGTTGGCGAAGAACATGGAGGAAGCCAGGTCCCAGTTGGAGGTGGTGGAGGCGTTTCTGAGCACGGAGACGCCGTACTTGTTGGCCGCCAGCACTTTGAGCAGAAAGCGTTCCAGCGCCGCGTCGCTAACGCAGCTCAGGTTCAGGAACTCCTGCTTCAGGACTTCCAGCTCGGTGCGCATCCGGTCCTCCATCGGCCGCTCGATGCTGGAGAACACCAGGGCTCCGAACAGCAGGTAGATGACATAGAAGAGGATGAAGCCTGTCAGCAGCAGCCACGACCTGCCCACAAAATGCATGTCTGCGGACTCCGGGATCACATCTGCTCTCAGGACTCACTCTCTGTGACTGTTCTCTTAATCTCTTCCTCTCCGTGTGACGGCTGGGGGAACCGATTTTGGGGGCTGTCCTAATTGAACTTGAACCCCTCCTGTTCCACCATCCTCCTCCCACAGCAGGGTGTGTCCACAGCAGAGTCCTGGAGCTGCATCCTGGATCCTGGAGGAGTCTGTGTATCTAGTCCCACTGGAAAATAACCCTTCTGCTGTTCAAAGACAATGTATTTTCCAAATGTCCCCAAACAACACCCTTTTGCCAAAGACAACCACATGTGGAAGAAGTACTCTTAAGTACAAGTACCAGAGTGTAGGAATACTCTGTTACAAGTAAAAGTCCTGCATTCAAAATGTTACTCAAGTAAAAGTACAAAAGTATTAGCATCCAAATATACTTAAAGTACAAACAGTAAAAGTACTCATTAGGCAAATTAGCCAATTTCACAATCATATATTATATGTTTTGATTCTACTTATCTATATTATGTATATATTGTTTATCATGAATCTATATCTGCAAAGTAACTGAAGGTAATACATTTATGGAGTAAAAGTAAACTATTTAACACTGAATTGTAGTGGAGCCTACAAGTAAAAAAGTACGGCACTTGAGAATAAATATACTACACCGCTCTGTCCTTGCTTTTCTTTTAAGAGCCATTAGTAAAAATAAAAGCTCATACTCCGGTTTATTTACCATACTATTAATCTTATTTTCCTTCTTTTTCTATTTTTGATCAACTTTTATTTTCTCTGCCTGATCCAAAACAACAAGGAAGATTTTGGCTGCCATCTTCGTTTGGTTGAATTCACAGAGTTGCAGATTAGTACATAGAGTTTAGTCATTGTTTAAGTATCTGTGTGCACAGTTGTACAGGCCCTTTCAGGAGATTTAGGTTTCTGATCCATGTTTTCAGATCCAGATGTGGCCCACACCCTTCCTGTGATGTAGTCTCATCTGACTCTGAGGTGGAGCTCTCCACACTGACGCGGCCTGGAGAGGCAGAGAGATGTGGGCTGTCTTTGTTCCTCTAGGGGTCTCCAACCTTTCTTCATCTGAGAGCTACTTTGAAAAATGAAAGTGGCCAAGAGCTACTTGCATCACATCGCTTACATTTATTCACATAGCCCTCATCAGTTGAATTAAGCTATACTTTTGTACATGTGTGAAATTGCAATACCTAAAGCTTGTCAAAAATCTTAACTTCACATCAAGGTCCAAGAAAACGAAAATGTCTCACATTATTATGGCCCACATAGTAAGTACATCACTGAACATTCACATAAATGTCCTTAATCACCACCTGACAAGCATCTTATGGCACATGTGTAAAATAAGTGCATTCACTCTTTTTCACAGTTAGTGAGATGACTGCACTGCATGGAGTCCACCATAGAGGTGTATGCTGGAGTGTACCCACTTAGGTTCACTCTAATAGAGTCATTTAAATGTTCACCAGTCAGTCTTGTTCTGTATTTAGATTTCATGACATTCATGTCAGAAAAAGCTGCTTCACAAAGGTATGTAGAACAGAACCAAATAAAGCAGACATTTTCAGTGCTGCTTGGTGAATGTTCTTATAGTTTTCTGGGTCTACAAGGCTCCAGAAATATTGTGAGTTTTGCTGAGACTTAAGCTGAACATGATTGGAGATTTATAACCTCCATCTCCATCTCCACAGGATTGACACTGAACAGTTCAGCCATCTTTTTCTTCTTCTTCTTCGTCTTGACATTACATTATAAACCATAATAAATCCATTGTATAGGTCTAGCCTCCCTATATATGTGTGTGAAATTGTTCCATCCTTACTTCTGCAGTCTAGCTGCAGCTTCTAGCAACAGTCTTCTGTTAAAAAAAGACACTGAATGTCTTGAATGTGGCATCACACACATGACTTAAGTCTGAACACAGCAGACAGGAGTATTTACAACAGCATTATAAAAACAAAAATAGTGCATGTGGGTGCACACTTACATTCTCTGTCTTACTGTTACATAAATCCCATGATTGTATGAGATTAAGTTAGCTTCATCATATCTCAATCAGTGATTAAGTGAATAATAAAGTTTCTATCAGGTTACTATCAGCCTGTCACTCATTATTTTCAGGGAGGGGGCGGGGTTTGGAGGAACAGAGGAGACGGTGATCGTGGAAGCTTTTTCCTCCTGCCTTCACAAACTTTACACAAGTATTTATCAACTGAAAATAGCAAGAGGACATTCATACTCTGCAATCCAAGACTTGATTAAATCCACCAAAAACCTGATAACGAAAAATCAAGAAGCAACCGTACTACGCTATAATCGATAATCGCGAGCTACCGGTAGCTTGCGATCGACTTATACTCTCTGAACACGACTACATGAAAATAACCAGCACAACCTGAATCATTACACTTATTAATGTATCTGTTCAATCATTTTTTTCACAAGTTACAGCAACCCTGTTATGCTTTATGGGGATTTTCCCTTTCCTGTCATGTGTTCTCTGTGTCCTTGTGATGTTTTTTCAATCAGAAATCCTTTATGTCTCACAGCAGTAAAATGTAGTGTTACAGCAAAGCGACTGGTTATACAGAAGTATTATGAATAGTAATGTCTCAGTGAAAATGATGGGTTTGTAAAGTAATGTGTCTGGATAAATGAGACTTGGATTGTGCTGTTATATGTTTGATATAGTTTTGCTGTTGTTAGTGTTAGGGCTGGGTCAAAAGTTCAGGACCTACAATGGCAGAGACCAGATGGATTCAGTCTTTTAACAAAGTTTAATTAAGGAAAAAAGGAGCAACTAAAAAACAATCCACAAAATGAAGGTGGATCTAGTTCTCGCTGGTGGCGGTGGCAGGACTCAGGCTGGCTCGAGCAGACACTGGAAAAACAGAGGAAAAAACAAGGTTACTCTTCAACAAAAACAGCAAGAGAAAATCACACTAAACTAAGATACTACGACGTTCAGCTCTACCGAGTGAGACGGAATTATCTGGCACTGGAGTGTGAACATGACCAGGGTTTTATGGAGGAGTTGATTAGATGAGTACAGGTGCTCCTCATTGTGAACCAGCTGCGCCTTCTAATGATCACCACACTGCACAGGAGAGAGAGAGAGAAGACAGAGAGGAGGAGGAGAAAGCAAAACACCTAAACCATAACAGTTAGAAGCGCATACATGCCAACCTTTCCAAATCCAAAAGAGGTAGGTTTGCGCGCGGCAAATGTGCACGCCCAAATTAGGTAATCAGAAGAAATGGAACCCCAGTAATTACATCTATAAACCATGTATTTAACATATATTGCATAATTGTATGCGTTTTTCAGAAAAAGTGGTAGTTTGGTAAACAGTGACATCAACGACGTGTTTGGTCTGTAAAATGCCCGAAAAGTAAAAGAATGGGAGATAAATATCCCAAAGTCTCCACATTTTATTATATTTTTAATGTGCTTCTGGTCCTCTTTCAGTTGAGACAGTGTAGATGAAGGATGTGTCAGAATGTAGAACTCTAGTGTGAACATTGGATAAAGCCAGGTTCATATTCTTGTTTCATGTTGTTGACATTAGAGTCTAAGGTTTACACAGAGCGAAATATCTTTGTGTTGCGCCATGAATCAGAAAATACTGCATTAAAAAAGTCATTTCCTGCATTTTTCTACTGATAAAGTGTGATATAAACAGGGGTGCACATAACTGGTACGCAGGTACGCATGCGCGGCAACAATCTGAAATGCGTACCGTCACTTGTGTCACAAAGCGCATTTGCGTACCGACGTACTTGTGAAGCTTTTCCAGAAGGCGGTTAGATCACCGGACGACAGAGTCGGTCCCCGTGTGCACAGACAGGGCTGCTGTTAACGTCGGTCTGTACAGCAGCCCTGCGCTAAAACAGCTGATCACAACGTTCACACGCTCCGCGCTCACGAAGCTCTGTACTCCACTACCACCCCCCCCCCCCCGTTGACAATCGCGAAGCGCTGCACCTCACCCCCCCCCCGTTGTCAATCGTGAAGCGCTGCACCTCCCCCCCCCCCCGTTGACAATCGCGAAACGCTGTACGCCAGACCCCCCCCCCCCCCCGTTGACAATCGCGAAGCGCTGCCCCCCCCCCGTTGACAATCGCGAAACGCGGTACTCCAAAAGTCGAGTCCAGTGTCTATGTAGTGTCATTTTTATTTGTTATAGTTTGGGAAGATTGAAAATCGGTAGGGAAAGTCAGCTAAGTCGGTAGGCGGTAGAAACATGTCAAAAGCGGTAGACTACCGCCCAAATCGGTAGGGTTGGCAGGTATGGAAGCGGCCCCCATTTACTTAAATTAATCAAGACTTTCTCTGTGTTTTGATTCTTTGTTTATTGAGGAGGCATGCAAGAAAAACATCATACTTTTAAAGAATATAAGGTCAGTTGAGGGTTCCCATGATGTCCCTGATAGCCAGGGCCATACAGGCCGATCACGCAGACTGCGTGGGGCCTCACCTTGCGGAGGGGGCCTCACCTTGCGGAGGGGGCCTCACCTTGCGGAGGGGGCCTCATCTTGCGGAGGGAGCCTCAACTGAGCCGCAAATGCGGCGCACCTATGCGCTTATGCGGCGCAAGTAGTGTGGTTTCGCCGCTGCGAGGCTCCACTAGCAACCCCCCTCGATGCTCGCGAAACAGAGGGCCTCATCATATAACTTTGCGTGGGGCCTCAAGTTGGCCAGGGACGGCCCTGCCTAAATGATTTTACAGTGCCTTTGTGCAACTGACCGGAAAACCATTCTATAGCACAAACACATAGCGGTTTCAAAACGTGCTGTGAAAATGGCAAGATCTATGGATGTAAGATACAAAGCCTGTAGAATGTATTTCACATCAGCTGTTAACTGCATAATTTCATCAGAATCAGTTTGAGTTGTAAGAGGAGGGGGTTGGATTGGTTTTTCGCAAATATCAACAACCAATTATAAAGTTTAATTGTAGAATATAGTATACTCCTGCCATTCATCTCTGCTGTTCTGTGGCTGCACACTGAGTATTTATATGGCTACATGCAGTGATCATTT